TCCGAGCTCCACTCGAAAGGAACACCTTTTTGGAGAAGGCATGTGAGCGGATGAGCTATGTCAGCAAATTTGGGAATGAAACGGCGAAAGTAGGAGCATAACCCTAAAAAACTTCGTAGCTGCTTCACAGAGCGAGGTGCCTCGAATGCCTCCACAGCTGTTGTCTTTTGTGGATCTGGTCGTATACCTTCTTTGTCGATCAGGTGTCCCAGCACAAGTGTCTGTCGTTCACCAAAATGGCACTTTTTAGAATTAAGCACAAGGCCGGCCTTCCTCAAGCAGTTTAGTACCAAGTCCAGGCGCTCGTTATGCTCACGAAATGTTCGGCCGAAGATCACAACGTCGTCTAGGTAGCACATACAAACTTCCCACTTAAAACCGCGAAGTATAGTGTCCATGAACCTTTCAAACGTTGCGGGGGCGTTACAAAGCCCGAAAGGCATCACGTTGAATTCAAATAGTCCATCGGGCGTTACAAAAGCGGTCTTCTCTCTGTCATCCGGGTGCATAGGGATTTGCCAGTAACCTGATCGTAAATCCACAGAAGAGAAGTAAGAAGCCGCAAAGAGGCAATCGATGGCGTCGTCAATTCGTGGGAGTGGATATACGTCTTTCCTAGTAACGGCATTTAGGCGACGGTAATCGACACAGAATCGCCACGTGCCGTCTTTCTTCTTCACCAGTATCACTGGAGCTGCCCAAGGGCTAGACGATTCCCGAATTACTCCTTTACCCATCATTTCTTCGACTTGAGCGCTGATGATCTTTCGCTCCGCAGAGGACACACGATATGGTTTTTGACGAATCGGTTCAGCGGATCCTGTGTTGATGCGATGGCGAGTACGGGATGCAGGAATCGATGTGGGGCCGTCGTGCTGTGCAAAGTCGAATATTGAAGAGTGTTTCGAGAGCAGGGCCATCAAAACACGACGTTCATGGTCACTGAGCGATGTAGCTACCATTCCGAGCATGTGTTCGTTTGCGGTGTGCGAGACACTGGTTTGTGCTGTATCCGGTAGTTCTGTAAGCACTGCCATAGGTATAAATGACTCTCCCTGAAACGTAGCAAGTTTTAGGCCTTGAGACAGCACTACTGCTTCAGTGGAGCAATTTAGCGTCCATAGCCCTGCGCATCCATCGGTAACTGAAACCATACAATACGGAACCAACACATTTTTCTTAAGACAGTTTCTATGGACCGGTTCCACTGCAACATCGAACGAAGTACTAACAGAAGACGAACAAACAACAGGAACGCGCATCGCGGATAAAGCGGGCACAACAGTGTCTTCAGAAACACAAAACACACTCTCTTGCTGGGATGATTCTTCTAAGAGCGCAGAGGACACACTTCCGCAAATACTGAGTTCTCCTGTTCGGCAGTCAACATTGGCGCCACACAATTTCAAAAAGTCAATGCCGAGAATTACATCGTGTGTGGAACGCGGAAGCACGGTAAACTCAGTGTTAAAGGTTTGACCACCCAAGGAGACATCCACGTTACACACACCAACCGGGTATAATGAGTCCCCACTCACTCCACGAAAGCTTGTGCTGTGGTCCCAATGAAACATAACCTTGCGTCCCAGCAGATTTTTGAACACCACACTCATGACAGAAACAGTTGCTCCCGTGTCGACTAAAGCCATGGTAGAAACGCCATCAATAAGTACATTAACCTTATTCTTCAGCATGAAGATAGGTGGAGGTATCCGAGTCGGCAGCAAAGATTTTCCAGCGACCTCACCTCCATCGGCCGCGCTGGCTAGTTTCCCGGCGGTGGTGACGCGAAGCGGCGTCGAGGAGATGATGACGTCACACGCCGTCTGGGAGATGGAGATCGAGACGCTCGGAAAGCTGGTGGTGGTGTCAGAGTACGTTCGGAGGCAGGAGAGCGGTAACGGTTTCGATACCTTTCTTGTTCTCCAGAATAGCTGTCCAGAGGGAAGTGACGGCTTCTTCTTCTCGGAAGTAGCCTTCAAAAGTGGTGTTTCCTGGCCTATTAGTGTCCATTGCACGACCACCGTGTTGCATAAACGATCCCGACTGTCCATTGCTGAATGCCCGACGTCGGTTACAATACCTAGCTATGTGGCCAGGCGTGCCACAGTTGTAACACACGGGCAGAGGGCGAACTTCCGGACGCTGATTGAAATATTCCACAGCGGCCACAGGCTGAGAGTAACTCATCCCCTCCCCTTGGATGTCGTAGGCAGTGCTGGGTCTTCGTGGGCGAACGTCGCGTGGATGCTGATCAAAACGCCGATCAATCGAGTCGTAATGGCGTTGTTCGGTCTGGCCATAATGCGGGTCGTGTCGGTATCTGTTACAATCCGCAGCATTCACCGAATGCTGCCAAGTAGCCGGAGGAGATGCGCAGACGGCGTCTCGGAAAGCGACGGAGGCGCAACGCGGCACCGCATAACGCGTTTGTTCTTCGTGCCGCAGGAGCTCCTCACGGACAATCTGCCGAATGGTAGCTGAGAGGTCTGTCTGCGGACTCGCGTCAACGCTGGCCACAGTCGTGACATTGGCTAGCCGTCCAAACTTCGGCGTGATTCGGCGAGTTTTCAGCGCCTCGAATGTGCGGCAGTGCCGAATCACGTCTGATACGGTGTTCAGGTTGTCTTTTCCAATGAGGAAGTTATAGACGTCTTCCGCAATACCTTTTAAAAGGTGTCCCACTTTATCTTCCTCGGGCATTCGAGAGTCGATGGTCTTACACAGCTTGAGAACTTCTTCAATATATGTCGTGCAAGTCTCGCCGATCACCTGAGCTCTCTGAGCTAAAGCTGTTTCCGCTCGTTTCTTCTTAGTGTCCGAGTCGCTAAAGCACTTCTTCATTTCTTCAATAAGACTGCTCCATGTAGTAAGCGTGTCGGCGTGGTTTTCATACCAAACCAGGGCCGTGTCCGTCAAATAAAAAACGACATGCCTGAGCTGGCTGGCCGGGTTCCAGTTGTTGCATTGGCTTACCCTTTCGTAATGGGTCAGCCATTCATCGAAGTCTTCCCCTGGCTTTGCTGAGAACGGCCGTGGCTCTCGGTAATGCTGATACAGCGGTGGTCTTGCCGAGGCATTGCTGAGGGGGTCATTTTGCTCCAGAGACATGTCGGGGCGCGATGGCGAAAGTCCGGCAAGGCGACGGCTTCTACGAAGTTCTGGTGCTGACGGCTCCGTCGTAGGTCGTGGGAGGTACCCAGCACAGCTCCACCAAATGTTACACGCAAGAAGTACACGAAAAGGTTGAAAAACAGGCGAGCCTGGATGGTTCGCGTTTACTTCCACAAGGGGTCTCGAGACAGCACACCCAACGTCGTCTTCCTTCTTCACCTTTTGTCTGAATGTTCATTCGCGCTGTATGCGCCGTGCATTGCAACCGCTCGTGACAATATAATTTGCGACTGAAACGCTCTAGGCGGTTTCGCGATTGGCGAATCGCGCGCGTGTGTTTCCGCGGCCACGCTCGATTCGACACGCTTGCGTAGCCGCCACCGGACGCAAGGACGCATCGACGGTGCGCAACGTGCATGAGGAAAACGAAGGTTGGCGGGACCATGCATGTGTTAAGAGCGATAAAGCCTGTGGCAAAAAGCTTTTAATGGCACCAACATCGATGTCAGCAAGAAATACGTTAGTCGCATAAGGTAAGCTAGTATTTTAAAAATGCAATGATAATAGTGGATCGAAGAAATAACGTAAGCGAGTTGAGAATGTACACGTACGCACAGTGTTAGGCGGAAAATCCACGAACGAGCGGTGTCGCTGGAGCTAACAAGCGACAAGTGGTATTGACTTCTTAAAGGGATGAACTTCATTGTGCTAGCCCCTTAAATTTTTAACCAGCCTATCGAGGTCACCCTCCGGAGTGCCAGATCACCTACCCTACAGTATAGTTTACTAAGATATGCCCTGAGGACTCGCTCTCTGGATTTCGTGCCGACCGGTTGCGCCCCCGCGACCTCCGACGACAGCGCAGCTCTGGCCGACTGGGCTCGCCCTCCGCCATCTCCTGACGACGACAACAGCTCTCGCAGAGTCGTGCCCCTTCCTCGGACTCCTGCGACCGTGTCCATCTTTCCTATCTTCTCCTTACTTCCGGATGTCTCTGTCCCTGCGCCACGCTCTCTCCTACCCCCTCCCTCCACCTCTATACCTTTTCATCCCTACTTATCCCCCGCCCCTTGTGAGGTATACTGTTGAGGTGTCACACTCTGATGCAGACAGTTACGGGGCTCACTTTTCTCTTGTTTTCTCTTTTAAGAATCACAAAAGAGATGCCCTAAGCCACCTTCGCCACGCCCCCACCTCCCTTCCGATCCTAGAAGTGCCACTTTCAGCATACATATACAGCTCAGCCTCAAGACAGTGACGCAGCCAGGGTACAGCACACCGAGACCGTGCGCTCTTGTCCCCCCCCCCCCCCAAAAAAAAAAAACTAACAAATTCTGCCTATACGCCCCGGCCTCAAGTATAATATGTTTGGCGCCAGTCTTGACAACGGCCGAAACAAACAGGACATCGAGTTGTTTTGTTTGCTTGTTTGTTTTCTCTCCGTATTCGGGGTAGCATAGAATATGCAAGCAGAGCACACAAAAGGCACAAAGTTATCTATAAAAATAGCACGGCGGGCCGGCCTGAAACCGCTGTGATACATAATCAAAGGTTCTTTCATTGTGTATCACAGCCGTACCGTGCCGTTGGGCCTGCCAGGGCGTTTATAGATAAGAGTTCTACCTTTTGTGTCCCCTGCCTTTCATTTGTCGGATGAGCGATGGCGCATTTTTAGCTATAGCACTGGCAACTCGCTGTTGATCAGCAACGTATAGTCATTATTGAATACCGATCCGTATATCGCGTTGCCTGCCCATTCAAACTTTTGTACTTCAATTTTTTTTTCGCGCAACTCAGTTGAGATGGATTACCAACTCGCCCAGCAGTCCGTGCTTCTCGTAAACGGTAACACTGCGCATGCGCCGATGGCATTGAGACCGGCTTACCTGCATGAGGATCTTCTCCGACTTGAAAGCAGCCGCGTGCTTCTGCACCAGTTGCACGGAGGCCATGTTGACCGTCATGTCGGGAAAATGGTTGATCGGCCAAATCTGCGAGGGACAAATTAGGACGCGCGAATGACGTCGTCCTGTGGATTACGTCGACTGCATCGTGTGAATGACGTAATTAGTACCAAACAAAGGCCCCTTCGTTTAGTTCAAGCCCATAGCGTGCGTTTTTGGCGTAGTTATCAAAATGAAGACGATGTTTTGAAGACGATGTATTCCTAAGTCGCCGTAACAGGTGTGGTGTCCACGATAAGTTCTGACTGAATTCGGCTACCGTAACAACTGCGATACAACAAGCACTGGCTCGCGCTGGCTAATGTCGGCTGAGCGATGTTCAGAAGCAACGTAGTCATTATTGAATAGCAATCCAGAGATTGCGTTGCCCGCCCATTCATAAACTATGTGAAAACTTTTAAAGCTTCCGAAAGATTGATTGATATGTGGGGTTTAACGTCCCAAAACCACCATATGATTATGAGAGACGCCTATAGTGTAGGGCTCCGCAAATTTCGACCACCTGGGATTCTTGAACGTGCACCCAAATCTGAGCACACGGGCCTACAACATTTCCGCCTCCATCGGAAATGCAGCCACCGCAGCCGGGATTCGATCCCACGACCTGCGGGTCAGCAGCCGAGTACCTTAGCCACTAGACCACCGCGGCGGGGCGATTCCTTTCTGTTATGAACAGAAGAAATAAGGTCAATTCAATTCAATTCTGAAAATGAAAAAAAGCTTTCATTATACTGACAACAGCGCAACAAAGGACAAGGGATAGAAAGAACACAGAGGAGCCCCGAATTTACAGCTGAAGTTTATTTTCCAAACGGAGCGGAATATAATGGAAAAAGTACACGCTCACAAAATATTTCCAACCAAAATATTTACAATCCCAACTAACGCGCGAGACAATTGAGGCAGCAGAAGTTGGTAGACTTAGCAATACCCGCGTGGCAATCCCGTCCATTGCTTTGACGAAAAAAAAAAAAAAAGAGTGCACTATTTGTCCCACACGCATTCTCCTTTGTGTTTTTTTTTTTTTTGCAAATAGTGGTTTGCAGTTTTTCGTTGACGTGCCTTTTTCTTTATATTCTGTTCCGTTTCGGAAATAAACCACAGCTGCAAGTTCGGCGTTCGTCTGTGTTCTTCATATCCCTTGTCGTTTGTTGCGCTGTTGTCAGTATAATGACACTTCCGAATACCATTAATGCTGCCTGTTTCGGCTACTTTATAACTGGCTACAGTGTGCGGCGATGTACGGTACTCACAGGCTGAAACGTGGCTACTTACGGCTAAATAATGGATCATGTGCTTTCGTTTCTACCATCTTCCTTGGAGAGCCATATACGTTACATGGAGTGGCCAGATTCGTATACAGCGACAGGTCGAGGTCATCTCGATGAATTACGCATTCGAGTCATTCATTCACTAAAGAAAACTCTATTAACGTGAGTACTGAAAACAGGATTTCTTCATACCGTGGCGGGCCCCTCCACGTCGGCACGGTCAGGCCGAGCCCTACATACGGCGCCATCGTGGACCATCTGGACAGCCCGTATAGTTTATATGAAGAGCTTGGTATCATCTTCCGCCAGTAAAGACATTTTTATCAGGGTCGGCGAAAGTTGAGGGACAGCCCGCCAGCATGTGTGCAATTTCAGTTGCATTCTTTCCTAATTTCGCTTTCGGGGTGAATTTTATTTAAGAAATACGGAGTGGGGTATGTCCCGGTTTGCAGTAAACGTAGCGTTACTGACTGAGCTCTGCTTAACTTTACCTGTGGTGGCGGGAATAGCCTATGCCTCAAGTATTAGCACTTACCGGTATCGTTGTAAGTTCATAAATGACTTATATGATCCCCGGAACGGTAGTGGGCGTCGGTTGAGTTTTGACTACCACGCAAAGTGAGTCCTCGTGGCAGGTCATTCGTCACCTCGTTGTGGTCCACCCCAGTCTCGTCCACTTGTATATGTGCGGGAAACCACCGGGTATGAGTTTCGATAAGTTTGGCCTTGTCGATGAGTTTAGCCGAAGTCTCAGCGACGGTCAAAGCTCTGAATGGCTCCTTCGGAACTGCCATAAATATAGGACCATTTTCGGTTCCTGCTGTCTAAAGGAATCAATAATGGCGGGGCAAACCACATTCCAGCCGTATGTCGACATGCCAGCCACATGTCACGTTTCAGTCCGTGAGTACTGGAAGACCACTTCATAAAGGACACCTGTGCCCTTTCTTGAAGTTCGAGTGCTAAGCCACGAATCCTAAGCATAATCTGTGCTAATGCACAACAAATGAGCCTCAGATAAGCGTGAAGATAAACTCACCCTCGAGTTCTGCTCTTCGAAGACCAGCTGGCCCGAGACAAACTTTATCTGATCGTCCGGTACGAAGGAGTGCTCCACCACGTGGTCATCCGTCTTCGTCGACCTGCGGGCCGTTGAGATAGGACAACAGCACGGTTAATCACGAGCGCACTTGATCCGTCGCGTCGCACTCGTAAGCAGCAACCTCACGGACAACATTTCGCAGCTTTGCTTCGCATCGCGCACGCGCGACCGAAGCGTATTGTACTACGTTTAGACAATGTCGCGAATGTCTCTATAGGAAATGACGTTGTACGTGGTTGCCGCTGCGCTTGCGTCTACATAATTCAACTAGAATAAATTTCGAAAGAGTTAGTACGTCATCAACGCTCTATATATACAAGCTGGTCAAACGTGTGGGCAAGGCACGAATTGATTTCCTAGTGGTTTCGACACCAATGCAACATGTACAGGATGGGCCAGTGACACGAAAACGCATATCTATGGTCTGGAACGAATGAATGAAAAATCGCCTGCTCAACTCGAAAGCCATGCCAGTCTCAAAGAGCAAGGGAAATAATTTCTAATATTGGATACGTCGTTCCGCTTTTCACGCGAATGACCATATTCTCACTTTTGCCTCAAAGAGCAAGGTAAATCATTTCTGTTATTGGATACGTCGTTCCGCTTTTCACGCGAATGACCATATTCTCACTTTGGCCCAATTCGATGAGCGTCACTACAAACACCGCTGAATCCGGCTCGTCTTATGACGCCGTGGCCTAATTACTTGAATGAGACAAGCGGGGAGTCGAACCTGTGTGGCCTTGTGCGTTCGTCGACGTATACTGCGCGCGGTATGGTTCGGCAAACCGGCGGGTCTGTGCTGTATAGTACGTGTGCTTCCGGATATAACAGGTATACAGGTGTAAGATCCCCCCTCCTCCCTCAGAACCACCACTGGGTATTTTCGTGCAAGCCGTTACATACGTATATACAGAAACAGGAGCTTGGAAGGGGCCCACAGGATTTGCTGAGTCGCAAAGGAAAGATTAAGTGTGTGCCTCCTTTTTTTTATTATTTTACGAGTATGAGTTAAATCACTCCTCACGATCGCAACACGGAGATGTGGAATACGCGGCCGTCATTCACGATAACGCTGCCTGCACACGATCAGGTTTCCCCATCGATCCGGGGAGCTATATATGGTATGGTCCATAGAGGGCGTTTAGAGATGCGTGCATGCAATGCACTTCCAGCGGTGTAAAACATCACTTACCATACCACGGTGAGCTTGATGTAGCACTTGATCTGGCCGGTACCGGAACAAGCGCGACATGGGGCCACGCCGTCACCGTTACATTTCCAACAACTGCGGGAGTGTGACAGGAGAGACGCTGCTCAGTGACACCCGCCTTAACCACAGCTACATCGCGGCACTCGGGCATACGCACGCTTACACTCTAAGAAGTAAATGAGGAAAAGGGGTGTCGAGGTTGCTCCTTTAGGGGAGTAACTAACTTGCCACACCGATTGCACCACTTTGGGAGTAACTGCTAAGGAGTCTCGCGGTTACTCCTCGAAGGAGCAACAGTTAGCAAAAGAAAAATATTTTTGTTGGCTTGCCCAGTCTTTCGAAGTGCGTGCTGGCATTTGATTAGATGTACTATCGATATGCAAGCATCACATTCAGAAATTAATTTCGAAAAAATTTGCAGCAAACACACGGGATTCGAACTCACGACCACTATGTCAGCATGCGCGTACACTAACCACCACACTACACTACGTTAAGGCACCGTCTGAAAGTAAACAGGCTTGTGTAGACACCGATGGGTCGTTTGCTTACGGCGCGAACATTCCTGCAGTTACTCCAAAAAACGGGCGCTTTACTCCACAAGGAGAAAAGTGCCCCCCTCCCCCTCGCCGTGCCGTGTGAAATCTTTTTCGCGCACTCTGTCTTTAGAAGGAGCAAAAAATCCCTTTTCGGGAGTAACTGCGCACTTTCCCCACAAAACATTTTAGAGTGTAGCTTTCGCCTTTTACGACAGTTCGTCGGTTCCGCGGCTATGCAGCTATCATAAATGTGCCAGCACGGTCAAAGGCCGTCAGCCACCTTGACCACAAGAAGGGTAAAACAAGCGCGAACACATATATTGAGCTAGCAATGGTTTACTCTATAAACTCCGTGCATTGCAACAGGAGACAGGCCTGGTGAGATGACTACGAGCGCCGGTGAGCTCTATCAAATGCTGTGTAGCCTTAATCGCAGAGTTACCCTTTAATTTAGTTAATTTAGTTGACGTGTTCCACAGCGAAATTGATGTTCCTGACAGGCTGTTCTTACGATATCAAGCTTAGCTTGAGAAACAAAGCAGTAACACTTCCGCTTCACATCACGGCGTCAAATGCGGATGCCGTACGTCGATAAACGCTAAAGTAATGAAGAACACGAATAAGGTAAAACAGGCCAATTTAAAAGAAGGCGTGAGATACGATAGATTACGCCGGCCAGACCAGATACTAGACCAGTTACCCAAGGCATAGAGTTTCCTAATAAACACTATAGAGAAAACTCTGGCGCTAGTGTCTACGGGAGCTGCAACGCATGGCGCTTCAGCGAGCATGGTAATGATGGGTAGTACACACATTTGTCTAATCTGCGTACTTCTAGCCTGCTTCTGGCTCCATGTGTGTTCGTGTGGCTTGGAGCTGTTTTCCCACGAAACAAAATATCAGCAAATGTTCAGCGGTTGTGCTTCACCACCTTATTTTTTTTAAACCTTACCTTTTCAAATCAAGTCACGAAGTTCAAAAGGGTTTTCTTTTATTTAAAACAAAACCGTAACCAGCACTAAACGAAGCCGCAAGTACGAAGACTAGGCAAATGTGTGTACTACCCATCATTCCCATGGTCGCTGAACGATCGCAGCGCCAGAATCCCCTCTAGTTAATTTTAGGAAACTCAATGATCCAAGGTATGCGGGCAAATTACTCCATCAAGAGCATCGATTCAAGAGTTAAGTTTCCTATAGCTATTAAAAGCGACAGTTATACATCCTTTGTGACTACAGGGATGTGCGGATAATCGAAAATTTCGAAGAATGAATCGTACAGCGTTCTATTCGAAGAACCGAATATTTTTTTTCATTATCTTACGAATAATCAGCGACGCCGAACAATGCTTGAAAGACCGAGACGTTAGAACAGCGAGAGGTAACTTTCCTTGCTTTAATCGTCGAATTACCCAGATGCAAGCAGTCGATGACTGGACTATCGACGCTATATTGATCACCGGACGAAAGCGTTTTGCAAACTCAAGTGTCGTCAACGTGACGGTGTCATCAATTCACTATTTTCACCATGACATTCATGATGACGTTAACTGATGAAAATTGTTGAACATTTATGTGTGACTCTCACTTAAAAGCTCATGGATAAAGTACCACATTAAATACTGTAGTCACTGCTATATTTTAGCACGTAGTTACAAAACAAAATATTTTGAAGGATATAGTTGCTTGCTGCTGTATGCGAGCTTGTATCAGTCTACAAAACTGGTATTTTCTTTGTCCGTTTGATATATTCGCAATGTTCCTTGGATAAAGCTTGCGACTGTTTGTTCAACTGGAATTGTTTGGGAATTTTTGAGCTGTTTTGAAAATTGTTACATTTCCAGTCTAGGGCTGCTTTGAAAAATGGTTGCCTTAAAATCAGAAAATTATTCCAACAGTATTCGAGTTGTAAGCGCATTCGATTCACGCATGCCTAATTGTGACATTTGTCAACGTGGTATCTCCCGGTCACTTCAAAAACAGGAATGGTATCGACCAACTCCGATAGGTATCGATCGACAGGCGTCAATCGCACTCACCGCATCCGACCCATGCCGTGACACTGGAAACATCGATCGTTGTCGCCCGATAGACTTCGCTTCTGGCCGTCGCCCTGACAGTAGTTGCACTGCTCCTATAAAGGAATCGACAGATTACAAACGTGACGTTTCAGTCGACTCGGTTTCACAACTCGTAAGCGCGTCTATAGAGTTTCTTGGCCAGACGGAGTGTGTAGTATACAACAAACAACGCGACGTCTCGATGGCAAAACGAGTGACGAACATCCGTTAGTGCCACGGGCGGGTGCACAAGGAAGGGGGGGGGGGGCGCCAACCATCTATAGTCACCAAATAGGTCGGGGAGGGAAGTGGGCGCAAAGTCAGCCAGGTGCATTGCCACAATAGAGAAAGAGGGCTCTGCAACATGGGGGGTGGGGGGGGGGACGCAATGTCAGCTTCATAGATTCACGTGATAGGGAGGTGGGCGCTGCGACAAACCTTCGCCCCCCTCTCCCCTGCGCGCGCCTATGGTTGCTGTAAGCATGCTGATAAAACGACAACATTAGCACAACATCCACGAGACGTTCTCGGAAGGTTTTTGAATGAACCAGGAATCTGTGTTTCCTTCTCTCCCGTTCTCCATGATCCCCAACTGCCTGTAATGTAGGCGATATCGAAACTATGTGTCGGGGCGCCTCTTTCCTCACACGAGCCTATAGGGCTTGTTTATATGAAAGAGTCTTGACAGAGATGTATATATGTATATAAAAAAAAACAACGTCCTTGTGCTACGCTGGTCATCTTTGATGCTGCTCACAAGGTAACACTGCAGGTGTATTGCAATGGCAGTTCAGACGCGTTGCTCTCGTATAGCACATCACTATGCCTCGAATATTTTTTATTCAACCTACCTACCCAAAATACGATGATTCATGAACTGCAAGCCTCTTCCCAACGCAATATTACGAATGCGTGCACTGGGACCCACTTACATATTTCCTCTGATTCCTGCACTCTGACTGCAATATCGTATGCAGTTTAGCTTAGTCGTCGATCGCATATCCAATCGGTTGTTCTAAACAGCTCTTGAATACCAAAAAAAAAAAAATCCCGTTCTGTTATGAGAATGAACGCGTCTGGTATGCTCATGAGTTTGCTGTTTTACTCGACCTTTGCGGCGCTCTCGAATGACGTGCTGATGCGTACAGTACACAACCGCGCACAAATAAGGTGAGTGTACTTACGTATCCGTTTCCGTTGCAGGTGGCGCAGCGCTTCCTTCCGACGCCGCCGCAGGTGTGGCAAGTCTTGACCGAGGCCGTGTGGGGCACTTCCACCGAGGTCGTCTGGCACTGGAACGGCGTCGGCGAGGGCACCGGCACCTCCCAGGGACCGGGAGCGGGTCCCGCCGACGGTCCGTCCACCGGACCACCTGGAAACCGCGAGTTCTTACGGGCTCTTTCGTCAGTCTTCGAGCTGATACGGGCCAAGCTTTAAATTATCCACGCACGGTTCCGAAAATGACGGCAACCAAACCTATTCAAGTGATTCGTCCCGGTACAAACCTAGAAAACGCTCTTGTGCATGCGTTTCGCGTTGAAGGTCAGGCAGAGGCCAATTTCTTCCCCTCACCGTTTCGCGTTGAAGGTCAGACAGAGGTCAATTTACTAATCTCACGTGCGTTGCTTTTACAACGGACATGCTAAGTGTCGCTTTTTATTGTCTACGGGTTCACGTACTCATTTAACAACAAGTAATGAGCCAATTACTGTTGAAGCATTTCTCTAAACCCAATATATTCAATGGAAAAGGTGCACAGCACATTAATTAGTGAGCGAATAATTCCCGTCCGTGATAACAGCTACTATATATTCAATGTTTCCGGGATTCTCGACGAGTGGACGAAATTAAAAAAAAAAAGAAAAAAAGGGGGACCACGTGTCACCAGGCACTTTCGCGCAGGGTCATCAGACAGGTTACCTCCGAACGATCGATGCCGTACGTTTGTTGCACTCCCGTAACGCACGCGGATTCCTTAAAGCTTGGCCCGATTTGATAGGTATAGGTCCCAGTTACTGCATTGTTTACGTGAGTAGTTGCTTTGGTTAAAACCAGAACAAGACGGAACTTCGTGGGAAGGTGGAGGTTTGAAGGGATCACAGAAGTAATTGAGCAAGAGAGCAGGTCCGCTGCCAGAGATCCACGAGAAGGAATGTTCTGGAGCCAGGGATTTTGCCAAAGGACTGCACAAGGGTGGACGCACTACCCTTAGTTGAAAAACTGACGAATGCAGAAACATTATCCGTGCTAAGATTCTCAACGCCACTGCTAAATAGGTACTGAGGCGTTGACTATATTAAAATACGAACCGCAAGACATGCTGGTCTAGGAGTCAATGTATAAAATTTGTGACGAATCTCCGAGTTTGAATTACTCTTTCTATCGAAATTCACGCGATCATGTCCCCGAATTAGTTCATTCTCGAACAGTGTAATTGACACGAAACCAAGTCACCGTAGCGCAAGTGAAAACGACGGACACTCCTATGTGACCGGTGTAAATTAATAACATTGTATACGTGCGTTACGCCGGATTCCTCAGACATGTAGTTGCTAAGCTTTTTTTCGGCGGGGCTTAATGCACTCTGTCACAATTAGCGAACGAATAACTGTGATGAAACGAATCACTATGATTACTATGAACGGATTACTATGATAAAAACGGTCCTTTGACTCCTCTTGGTGAGCTCTAACTTGCCACTTTTGTGACTCACTTTAAAGAGTCATTTTAACTCTATTTGGAGACAACTACATTCACGTCAGTTTCGTGGGAGTTAAGTTGAAAGTAAATGCGTCTTTTTAAAAAAAGTCACATACGTGGCGAATCAGTCACCGAAAAGATCAAAAGCTACACTTTTGTTTTTCTTAGAGTGTTGGCCGTTGAGTCGTTGGCAGAAACTTGCAGGTTTGGGCGAGGGAGACGGAATTGTGCGGATTAGGCTTCGATGGCGAGTCTGTGGCCGTGCCCTCGTGCGCTGATTGCCAAGGCAATACGTAGAAAGATGCCTTGATGCTTTCAACCTTTTCCTCGTGTATACGATGCGTAAGTCCTAACGCTGGTTTCGGAGAAGAAAGGGGAAAAAAACGACCCACGTGACTCACCTGTGTACGGTTCGAAGCACCAGGCTGTCTGCCGCTTCTCAGTGAACGTCTCCAAGGTGTACTGGAAAGCGAGTCACACTGCGTTACGCGCAGAAGTTCGGTGCGCATTCTCGTATTTCACGGCCACCTTACTCCTTAGGCAAATATTTGAAAAAGAAAGAACACGCACTCATTCGCAGTTTTGTTTAGAATGACGTTGGCCAAAGATTGTCACTGTTTGGAATGGCGAAAATTAGCTGCAATGATAGCTCTCGCAGCAGATTGATTCAACGAGACAAGGACTGAAGTAGCATAAATTGGACAGAGCGCACAACTGCGTAATGCTTGTACGCTGTGGCGAAAACTCCATTTTTGTTGATCGCCCTGTCTGAACAGCATACGTTGCTGATCTGCACAAAATGTCTCTGAAACTTCAGTGTTGGACAGTCAGAGAAATGTCGCAGCGGCGCTCATAGGCGCACAGGCGAAGAGGCAAGGGGGAGCCCCGCTCCCCCTAATCCCTATAGTTACCTACGAGAGCGCCACAAAATCTGCCCTATACATTAACTTATTAATGTGGGGGAAGTGGGCATTGCGATGAATGTTCGCCCCTCTTGATGGGGAACCCAGTGCACGCCTACGACAGTGCTCCAGTAGTGAATAATTTTAAAAGGCAAGATGCCAGAAATCTTTAGAGCACGCGTACACACGTGCAAACTCATTCAAATTAAACAAAAAATAAATATCGCGAATCAACTGAGCACAGGTACGAGTGTCCCTCTTTGCATATTTGTAAAGAAATTCGTTCCTGCCGATCGCCACGTTCGTTCGATGCAATTTACTGTTGTAATATCAACAAGAACTAGGAGTTATAGCACCGTGCATTGTAACCAGCAAAATTGGAATACACACTCGAGCGTTCCACCTAAAAATATACCGAACAGTAAAAGAAAGAAAAAAAAAGAAAGAAAGAAAGAAAGAAAGAAAGAAAGAAAGAAAGAAAGAAAGCGTACCGTTTCTGCTATCTTCGTTAGTTTATGCATTGATTCAGAGAAAATAATTAACATGTTTATTGAATGTATCTGACGCCTGGCAGTAACTAGCAGGTCGTTAAGCAGTTTTTTTTTTTTTTGCGGTTCTGAAAAAAACAAAGTCCCTGTTTCACCAAAAGGGCAAAGAAATGAATGCGATAGCAACATACTCGAATGTTTTACGAATCAAGGCTAGCATTCTAGGAGCAATACTACTTGTAGTAAATATGCGCTTGCTAAGTAACCAAGCTACCTGCGGCGCGGTCACAGTAATCTGTTGTGGTCATCTATAGATGACCACAACAGGGCTCGTGCGTAGGGACGGCGTAGATATACGAGGTGAGGCTGGCAGTGAACTCATTTAGATACGATCACACGTAACTCTACAAAACGCTGCTGTAAGAAAACACGGCCGCTCCAGGTACACTTTTCGCACCATTTTTTCGCGTTGAGAGCGCAGCCCGTAGAAGCGTCACCCCCGGAAAATCTTTTTCCGGGGGTGACGGTAGAAGCTACCGCCTGCGGTAGAAGCACTGGCCGCGCGCTGATCGTTGCTGTGATAGCGCAGCAACGATTAGCCCCCCCCCCCCCCCCCCCTCTGTTTGCTCATGAGATAAGCGCGCGCGAAGACGAACCCGACCGGAAAGGCGATGTTCACTCCGCAGAAAGAGGAGGCTAGCGCATTTTTCTCCGTATATTATATATGTACAGGTGCGATCAAAAGTGTGCAGACCACGGGATCGCGTGGCAGAATGCATCGACGCGCCAGCTAGCGACGAGACACGACGAGAAACCTGCTGCAGGGCGCATGCGCGTCCCGTCTTATCACTTGGCTTCTCATGTCGCTCTGTTCGACGCGGTTACGGCGTTCGTAGACAAAACGACAACTGGGTGTCGCTTTCTTTGCTCCATCGAATCTGTGCCATTCTTTTACGTAGCGGCTGCAACGGGGCCGGTTCGAACGCCGGCTCGTGTTGTTATTGACACCGGCTGATCAGGATAAATAAGCATAACGAGCATCAGACAACCCGACACAGCCAAACGCACAAAATTAAATTTTCTCAGGCCAGCTTGCTTTTGTCAGGGTAATTCAAGTTGCACTTAAATGAGCTTAGTTAGGTGAAGTTAATGTAGCCGAAGTTAATCAAACGTGAATATATACACGAAATTGAATACCTTTACTCTCAAAACCATCCTATGCAGCAACAGATGTCTATATTAGGCGGATCGAGGCGTGATTTGCATAATTCTCCGACATCGAACTCGAGTACTTCGGGTGTGCTCCGATGTCACGCACATTATTCAGCAATAATCATAAATAATGTTAAGGGTAATTGGATCTATATTTAGGTAAGTGAGACTCGACTCAGTCAGGAATAATCAGCATCTTGCTGAGCTAGGATTCTCGAGGCTTATGAGATTTCGAGTTCAATTAGGTTAATTATTTGTTTTAGTAATATGTTATTCATTTAAAGCTTATTATAATCCAATTGGTTTGATGATTCTAGGGCCTACTAAGCTTAATCTATTTTTCATAGTTACCTTGGTGTTTGCCTAATCAGGTTACTTATGCATATTTAGCCTAATTATGTCACATTATATTCCAGTACAGGGTTGAATTTATGACTAATATCCAGTCATAATTAGTATTCATAATAGGTAGCGCTAATTTGACATAAATTATCCTAATTCGTATGGAATCGGTAAATAGTAATTAGTATCTTCCTGGCCTTGACTTCTGTGCTCTCATAAGGAAGTCGACATAGATTAATTGGCCACGATACGGTTTGCCTTGTATAGGCTAATTTTGCACGGCTAAGTTATAGATGAGCATGGTCAAATTTGCCTAATTAAGCTTGGCTATGCTTATTTCAAAACATCTGGGCTCTTCTAAGCCTAACTTGGCTTAACATGAAAACACCAAGATGAACAGGGCTTAACTAAACCTACTTACGCCTGCCTCATTTAGTTCATAAAGTGTTCGACTACATTTAATAATTTCGGCTACATTAACTTTGACTTAGCTAATCTTATTTAAGTGCAACATGGTTCAGCCCGACAAAGGCAAGCTGGCCTGAGAAAATTAAATTTTGTGCGTTTGGCTTCGTCAGGTTGTGCGATGCTCGCTATGCTTACTTATCCTAATCAACTGGTGTCAATAACAACGTGAGCCGGCACTTGAACCAGCCCCGTCGTAGCCGCTACGTAATAGAACGGCACAGATTACATGGGGCAAAGAAAGCGACACTCAGTTGTCGTTTTGGCTACGTGCACCGTAACCGTGTCCGACAGAGTGACATGAGAAGCCAAGTGATAAGAATGGACGCGCATGCGCCCTGCAGCAGGTGTCTCGTCGCTAGCTGGCGCGTCGATGCATTCTGCCACGCGATCCCGTGGTCTGCACACTTTTGATCGCACCTGTACATATACATATACGTGAATGACGGCGGCGGTGGCGGCAAAAAACCAGCCAAGACTGTTCATATAAATGCTATCGCAATACAAGAAATGCAGCTGTCGGTATTGTCAGACGGCATCTCGCCTGCGGGGCTCCCATGCGTCAGAGGGAACAGACGCTCGGCATCAACTACCCACAGAGGCCTGCTGGCAGGTTTATTCGGGATAAATGTATAAGCGATCGATCTCGAACGGCGATGAGAGTCTACGTCGGCGCGCCTGCTCAAACTCTACCGTTTCCAGGCCGCTTAACAAGCTGTCGGGACAATGTACGAAGAGACAAACACAGCCAGCGTCGTTTCCCAATGTTCGCTCGCCCAATCGACCCGATAATCGACCAGCGCTACACCGCGGTGCCGGGCGTGTTCAGTGGTTGCTCGCTTTATCGGCGCGGTTAGGAGCTATGTCCGTTGCCGTTTCATGCGTATTTGTCACGTGAACTGCCGTGCAAAACACTCGCAAATGCGCTTTGTTTCGCGATTTCACCCTGTGTGTCATCTGCATACAACGACACTGGTAACAGTGTCCACCTTAAAGTGTGAATACACGACGATGACAACGTAGCTGAGAGCCACTTCGTTTTTGTTACCGTAGTTCTGCTTTCCACTCAGCACATGGTGTCTTTTATGCGAAGTTGTCACGCCTCTAGCATATCACTAACAAAGGAATGGTGTGAAGTGTCTGACTCTCAAGCGTGCGCGCCTGTTACATGCTTCGATTACGGTATATGCGCTTCGAAATAAGAACCGTCACCAAAGAGCGATCGCCTCATCTGACGTTGCGAAACAGCAACCATGTGTGCACTCGGCGTCAAAACTTTTACTAGATATCAAAAAGTTTTGAATATCTCAGCCACCTGTGACCGTATCCGGTCGAACAGTGCAGTACACGTGGTCAGCGCGGTTTCGAACAGGTCGGAAATCTCTGTCCGAGGCTGTCTGACGAAGCGGCAGAATTTTAAGCTGCTTCTTGCGTCTCGTGGTCCGTAAGGTTTTGACGCTGACTGCATGCGTGTGCCGCGAGCATATATGGGACTCGACTCGTTCAGACTCAGATCCAGCCGTGAGTACGAGTCTGAATGAGCCCGGGTGAGTAATGCTACGAGGTTGAGCCAGAGTGGGTCAGATTGAAGAAAATTTTCGCGTGTGCGAGTCTGAGAGAGTCCGGCTCAGAAAAATCGTAGCGAGTCTTCGGGCAGGGGGGGACCTTACACCGTCCGTTATATCGTCAAGGAACTGGTCACATTTACGTGTTGGGGATACGTGTACGTATTGTCCCCCTCCTGCGATGCAAGCAGATACATACCACCTTTTATGGACATGTAAAGGGTTGCAGCCAGAACGCTCCCGTCACCTCGCTCAAGCCGGCCTTCGCTACAGCGACACAGCCAGTTACAACCACTGGATACATGAAAACAGATTCCACAAGACACTACTTCACTTCATACACAACAATGGCCTAACAGCACACATTTAACACAAAAATATTATGACTTAAAGGTAAGTCTTTGTCGCAATAAAAAAAAAAAAGTCTGAGCCCGAGCGAATCCGAAGCGCAAAGTATATTTCACGAGTGAGTCCGAGTGAGCTCCACAAGTTTTGCCGACCTATATGGCTACGAGTTCACGCTGATACAGGTCACTCCCGCGTTGATTGATTGATTGACTGATTGATTGATTGATTGATTGATTGATTGATTGATTGATTGATTGATTGATTGATTGATTGATTGATTGATTGATTGATTGGCCACTCACGTGGAAGGCGGACGTGTGGTCGATCTTGGTGATGGCCATGTCTCGCGCGCACGCCTTGCCGTAGCAGCAGTGCTTGGCCACGTGCTTGGTTAAGGCTTGCCGGGCCTCTTGCTCCGTCACCTGCGGAGTGCTGCGCGAACCCACGCCAGCGCCATCACTCGGGGTGTCACAGAGTGTACAGACAGCACGCACGCACGCACTAAGTGCCGTCTCAAAGCTTCAACCATGCGCTAGTGCGATGCAGAACCGTCGCACTACACGTAGTACATATCATATTACCTCTATGATTGCTATAGATGCCTGGAAGCTAACTAAACGAGAACTTGACATCATGCACGCTATTCGTCGTTAACAGCCTCAATGGGAGCGTGGCACCTATACCTTGGCGCAATAAATTCGGTGTCGTTCGACACGTGCGACTGTAGGACGCAATGAGGACATGCACCGTGCATACGGTGAGAGACTATACCGCGAAATAGTGTTTTGAAACTTCTATAGATATATACAAAAGCAGTTTCGTACCATGGTAGCGGCGCTCGCTTAGGAGTATCCTCTTCTTTGGGTGTCGAGGGCGTGTACGGAGGTGGGACGTCCACTGCGAGGAGCAAATAGCATAGCTTCTCGTTTGCATGATAATATACGTAGATACGCACCATATACACAAAACATCCAGCACTTCGTCCACCGAAACCAAGAGATCCCGCGAGTGCACCTCGTTCGTACACATGGGCATGCGCCTCTCCTTAGCAATGAGCGCGTTCACGCGGCAACCCCAAGCCCCAACCTGCAGGCCCAACTGTGCCACGCACACACACGTACATATACTGACTACAGCGTAAAACCGCCCGACCACGACACGCGAAGCTAACTCATGAAGATATTTCTCCTAAGTACCAGCTCCAAACTGATATGGTCCCCAACCTAGCACTCTTTCACACTTTTTTCAGCCTACACAATGTCCCGGCCGATGTTCTTTCAGTGGAGGACATCCCAGCTTGTATACCGTTTCACGTGCGAGTGTCCCGAGCCGCCAGACATGCCTAGAATCCCTCCCTGTCCCAGTGAGAATCCACTACTTCGAGCACAGCCCTGGACAGAAGGCTTCACGCTCCGAAACTCCACAGGCAAAACGAGCAAAAATAATGATTGCTTCAAATACTACCCCTATATTATTTTATAAATGTACAATAAAAAGAACTGTTGGAGTTTAATGCCCCGAAACCACGATATCGTAAGACACGCAGTATAGCCGAGGGTTTCGGAAATTTGGGCGGTCTTTTAACGTGCACCTAAATCTAAGTACACAGGCCTCAAATATTCTTTCGTCTTCATCGAAAATGCGGCCGCCACGGCCGGGATTCGATCCCGCGACCTTTGTGTCAGCAGTCAAGCACCATAGGTAACCGCCATGGCGGATAAAAATATGCAGCTCATCATCATTAATAGGTAAAGTGATTCTTCTTATTGCTGAAGAAAGAAAGCCGCTGCGGAATCTCATTTTAAAAGAATGCCGAAACTTGTGTGTTCTAACAGACTGGTATACCTTCAATCGCGACTCAACTCGCTAGAGTTTACTGGTGCCAAAATCGGCACACACATGAGAAAACACTTCAGAAGAACCGCGATTACGTAAAGAACGTTATAATAACGAAGGCAAGTTGAGACGTTAATTTTTCTCTTTGTCGTCTTTTAGCTAATAGCCGACCTTTTTTCAATCAAACAAGTTAAAATAGAAGTTTTGAAGGCAGAGGGGAGAGCGAGAGAGAGAAAAGGGTTACCACTCTGAACAACGATCTGTGCCGCTCGCTCTTCTTTTTTTTTTTTTTTCCTGTCCCTTTAAAACGAAACTTTCGAGAGAGCCTGTAGCACTTTCGAATGACGATGCTCACCGAAACCGAAGACGTGCGGCTCCATGGGCACCACGACGGGCGGCTTGCGCTTGCCGAACTCCACGGGCTCGAAGAATATGCTCGTTTGGGCCATGACAATCTCCACAACGATTCGTGTTCTATTCGACGCCGACGCGCGGGTGCCTAAAAACTCCTCGGGCTTTGCGTAGCGATTCGCTCGGTCGATCACGAGAAAAAACGCGGAACGAATTTTCGCCTTATTTCCCTCTTCCATGTACCCGTTTCTTTCTTCGATTATTTTGTCTTTCCTCTCTTTCTTTCTCATACCATCTCGAGGGGCGAGGCCTCGCCGCAAAAGCGAAATCGCAGCTCGCAGAAAGAGTGGGAGAGAGAGAGAGAGACTTCAAACGAAGCGCGTCCGTCTAGGTCACGTGATGGAGCGTCTCGTAAACAAATAAAAAAAAGAACGAGCAAACGACGAACGTCGGGCTATTACCAAAGTCTCCATCCTTCGACACTAGCTAGGCCCATGCACGGACTCGGGCAAAGATGCCAGAGTTTTAATGAAAAAAAAAAACAAAAATCAAGCACACCCCCTATCCGCGCACGCGTAAAGCTATTGTTGTCCGGCGGCTTATAAGCACTTCATTGTTTTTACCCCTCACTCCCTCACCCTCTTTCTTTTCGATCGCCGCGGCGTGGTTTCGATAACAAAGGCTTCATTCACCTTTTTTTCTTTTTGTTTTCATTCGTAATGAAGCCGAATCACACTGATGACATATACACCGGATACAATTATCGACGCTGTCGCCGAGGAGTAACGAGGTAATACGGTAAATTCGGGTATCCGTTTTCCTCCCGCGCACGCGTCGGACCTTTCCGTTGCTTGCTTTTGTTTTATAAAGAGGGGCGGGCAATGTTGTGTTTTTCTCGGCATCGGCGGCGTAGTTCCGTGCAGTACGTAGAATGGGACCAGCGGCTCTGCCTTGTGCGACGGCTGTTAGGACCGGCGCCAGGTCTGACAATGGATCGGCGTTCCTTTTGATGTTCCTTTTGAGTCGCCAAACGGGTTGGCGGCCTGTGTCCGCCATGTATTGTTCCCACCTGGCCGGAGGGTGCGGCGTCCTGCCGCCGCGGCGCCGTGAGCAGTTCGGGAGACCACCGGTGCAGCTTCTTCTTTGGAAGATGACAGCGGCGGCGGCGGCCGGGAATCGTCCCGCTAATTGAACGAATCGTTCGGCACCATTTGAAGCTTGTTTACGGCGGCCCTTTCGATGGATGCAGTCATCAACTTCAGACCCCTCGCCCAGCGACACACCTTGACGGGGGGGGAGCCGCGTTCGTGCCACATGGCCGTGCGGTGACCACGCTTCAGTTTTGAACGTTCGCGTGGACCGTGCGTGCTCGTCACCCTCGCGGGTAATGTGTGGTCCGTGATTGGACGGTGCCATCCGTACGCGGTCCCCGATCTAGGGATCTGGGGAGGACAGACCCTTTATAATGAGCCCCCACGGCTCATTCGGTGTGCTTTTTCGAGTGGAGAGCTCGCCATGTACGAAGAACGCCACTATATATCTAAACTTTCTTATTGACCTCTCTCTAATGTAAATAAACGTCTGTTCTCTGTTTTCCCATATAAGCATTGCTTCTCGCTATAAGGGACGAGTCCGATGGGAGCCAGCTACCAACGACAGACCCACAGGACTCAGATCTCAACAACTGGTGGCAGCGGTGGGATCGAGCTCATCGACCAGGAGGCAATGCTGAGACCTGCTGTCTGGAGGACCTAGAGTCGGACAAAACTGCTTCGTGGCATCACTGACAACACTGGAAGGAACGCGTCCGAATTCATGACTGCATAGGGTGAGTGCACTGCTTTTCTTTGCTGAGATATCACCAGGCTTTGCGTAGGATTGTAAACAAAGCAGTGATTTGGTAACGGTGGACGGAAGTATTGATAGTACGTCAAAGTTGTTTAGTTAAAAGAGTTAGCAGCACCAAGGACCGCCATGAATTTGAAGGGACTAAAAAAGCCAGAGTTGTTAGAGTTGGCCCGAGAGCTGGGCCAGGTAATTGCCGAGACGAAAAGAAAGCAGGAGATCATTGACGCCATCGAGAAGATCGGGGCAGATGACGAGGAGCTGAGCGAATGCTTGGAGGCTATTACGCAAAGGAAAGAGGAGCAGAGGCTCCGTGAGGAAAAAGAGGAGCAGAGGCTCCGTGAGGAAAAAGAGGAACAGAGACGTCGTGAGGAAAAAGAGGAACAGAGACGTCATGAGGAAAAAGAGGAAAGGGAAAGAGAACGTATCGATCGTATGGAAATGAAACGCCTAGAAATTGAACTAGCAAAGGCTCAATCAATGAACGGAGCTAGCGCAGTGGCACGAGAAAGAGAGCGCCGAATGACAGATTTGATGCCATCCTACGCGGTAGGAGGGGACATGGGTCTTTTTCTGGTGCACTTTGAGCGCACGTGCGAGAGGGAAAATTTTGCTAAAAACACGTGGCCCCAGCGCTTGCTTACGCTGCTGCCGTGTGAAGTAGCTGACATTATAGCCCGTATGGGTAAAGAAGACGCAGACGACTATGACAGAGTCAAAGCGAGTCTGCTCAAAAAGTACAGACTGTCAGCGGAGGCGTTCAGGCGAAAATTTCGTGAGATCGAGAAAGCCAAAGACGAGTCATACCCAGAGTTTGCGTACACCTTAAAGGTAAATCTGGAGGAATGGCTTAGAGAGGAGGGTGCGCTTGGCGACGCGGAAAAGACTCTGCAGTGTTTTGCGTTGGAACAATTCTTTCGGCGTCTACCTGAAAACATTAGGTACTGGGTTCAGGATAGACAAGGAGTAGATACTATCACGAGAGCGGCAGAGCTCGCAGAGGAGTACGTAAATCGCCGTGCCCTCGAAGGCGAGGATGTCCCTAGGAGGGAGATTAGTAAATATCGGGCCGACAAGCCTCCGCGATGGACAAAGTCGGGTCGGTATATGCCGAAGGAGGGTTTAGACTCCAAAGGAAGCGGTGATGAGAAAAACAAGAGAAAGGAAGAAGCACCCGAGAAAAGGGCGGAAGGGCAACAGAAAAAGGCGTTCGAGGCCAAGAAGCCGATAGTTTGCTATAACTGCCAACAGACGGGGCATATTTCTTTGGGTTGTAAGAACCCGAAAGTTGTGTTAATGTCACTCTGTAGTAATGACGAAAACATGAAATTGCTAGAACCATACATCCGAGACCTAGTCGTGAACGGCCAACCGTGCCGCGTGCTCCGCGATTCGGCCGCCACTATGGATGTAGTGCACCCGTCCTATGTCGAGGAGAGTCAGTTTACAGGAGAATGCGCGTAGATAAGACAAGCAGTAGAGACAAACAGTGCATGTCTCCCAGTAGCAAGAGTCCGCATCGAAGGCCCTTTCGGTGTTCTAGACACTGAAGCTGCCGTTTCGGCACATCTCCCAGTGCAATACCCGTATTTGTTCTCAAATAAATCAGAGTACTTGCTGCGACAAAAAGGAATTGGGTTCAGTGAGGGTATCGTACAGGCCTTAACTCGATCCAAAGCAAGGGAGCTCGCCGCTCAGACAGTTTGTAAAGATCCGGTGGCAGACGAAACAGCTTCAGCGGCAGAGCCTTCTTTACCTGGCACGAAACTGGACCGCCCTATAATGGAGCCTCAAAACACAATATCTAAAGAAAGATGTAAGAAACCGGATGAATCCGAGGCATCTCGAGAAGTAGAATGCACTAT